TAAAGGCGGAATCATGCTTACATGCACTCAAATACAAAACATTTACCCATGAAATTCAAAGCCTAGTAGATTGGTGAACCAATAATCAACTCAAAAACAAAGTGAGTTGAAATTAATACCTTTGTAGATTCCTCTTTGCATAAGCAAAGGCTAATCACCCAAAGAGATAGGGGCCTTCATTCCTTGCTTCTTAGATCCATGGATTTGGATGGAAGAATAGGTTCTCCAAGTTCCCAAAATTGAGAACCTCTAATTCTCGACACCAAGGTTCGATTGTAGAAGAAATGAGTGACCTTGGAGTAGTAGGATTGCTAGATGTACCCTCCAAGGTGTTGGCCTATTTAGAGAGAAAATAGAGAGACAATTCTCACCAATTTTCCCCCAAAATAAACCCTTAATATTTCCTTAATGAATTTTAGTTATAAAGTCATTTATATAGTCACTTCTTTAAGTGACCTAAACAACCAAAACCCTAATTCATTTCATCATGGCTGGCCATTTAGGGATGTTTGGGCTTTTGGGCTTTAATGAATCTTCATTCATTAAATTGTCATACAACTTAAGTTAATGGGCTTGACGTTCGAAGCCCATTGGGCCTTAAGGTCCAAAACTATCCCGAAGTCTTTAACGAACTTTTTCGTTTGATTTAATTAACATATTAATTGATCCTTGCCATAATTAAATGATTAAACCATTTAATCATTCTTACTCATTTCCGTTTAATCTCCAATCTCCACCTTTCACGGTGTGCGATCCATTAGGTTCCTTTTAGCGAGGTAGTGGGCGATTAAAACCATTTTACATCGATTGTGAATTGAAACTATTTTTCAATTCTCCCTTTAGTGATTATACACGTTTAGGGCTTCCACAAACCATGAGTGACACCTAGCAGCATATCATGGTTACCCAAGCTAATCAGAAGAGGTTAGAGAACCTATTCAGTTCGAGATTACAAATGCAATACGGTCTTTCTCTAATCTAATACTCTTGACCACATTGTTTGGTTTGATAGTTTATTTTCTCATGTCTACTATCCAATGTGTGTGTCTTGTGCTTATATGATTACCATGAATGTGATTCGGAACGCATTCCCTAATCTCATTCATACTCTGATCAGAGATTTAAATCATATCATAGAGTATTCTCCCTCAAACGGTTTGAAGGTTAGAGATCCCTTGTTGCGCATTCACTTGTCTCCATAGCTAAGTCACTTGACCCCAACGATGCCGTGGACACCCTCCTGATGGAGTGACTTTGACATAATCAAAGATCAAGGTCTTAACCACAAGACAACTATGATGCCTCAGGTCAAAGGACTACTTTGCATTATCCCAACCATGAGTTCTCATGTGACATGGAATATGAGAACTCTTCGTTGATCGCGTTCAGTGAACTCATTCTCTATTGAGCACCTACCGTACTTGTCTTGATGTCACACACACCAATGATTCGAGACTAATCACTCTCCCTGAGAGAAGACATAGTACGTACTGATCTTAACGGACTGTCAACGCCCAATTGGCAATCCTATGATCAGGAACGTTTAGGATGTGTCTACGAAAGAATGGTCTCATGAATCTAACTTCATTAGATTACATTCTCCCAATCACATATTCCTTGGACTTTATCGTTTAAGCATATAACATTTATATGAGACGGCTCAAACAATAATGTATGCCCTTTATATGTTAAACTAGATTAGTTTAACATGTGAAATGTCCGTAAAGTATCATCACATGATTGGCTTTAGGGCACATTTCCAACACCCCTTCCCAGTATCTTTAAGTCTCAATGTCTCATGCAGTCGAGTTGCATTCATGTCTAAATTGTGCAAAGAATGAAACTAAAGGGAATAGAGCTCTCATTGGGTTCCATGTAAAGTTATTTACTCCGTCTCTCATTCATACATGTAACCGATATAAAACTTGGAAACTTTAACGAAATCCTCACGGTACTGTTCACTTTAATGAAAAATCATATTTTTACACTAAAAAGTCAATCCTGGTACTATTCACTTTATCCTTTATTTTGTTCTTATCATTAAAACTCAAAGTTTTCAAGCCATTTTCATTAGTTTTTCCTAAAAACTTTGATCTGGAAACACTTGATTAGTATCTTTACAAAAGGTCAACTTTTTAGATTGACTTTCAATCAACACCCTTAATTACTTGTAAAATCATACATGCAGACGAGATATTTTTCAATGTAATCGTCATATAAGATGGTACACCACGTATCCTTATATAAATGATGAGATATATGTGTTAAAGAGTTAATAACTTAAAAAATAAAATTTTCCACCACTTATATAAAAACACATAATGTACCATTCGTGTTTCTATCACAATAAAAAATTCCTCCATGCAGACATTGAATTTTCACGCCACTTGTAGTTGGCTGCCGGTATTTCTCCCGAGGCAGGCTGCCAAGATTGATTGACTGGGCTCGCGCTCAAGCTCGACAACAATGGTCAACATGTAGGAAAAATAAATGCACTCGGAATGATAACACTGAGGAGGTTTTATTGCGAAAAATAATCATGTTTGTAAATTTTAGTGAGGGTTCGATCATTTTCTCTTCTAACAACTTAACAATTTAATTTACTAACGATATTTTTTGTCTAATAAAAAAAATATATCCATATATACTTTAAAACAAAATGTTAAAATTTTCAAATTGGAAAATTGACAAACAAACAAATAAAACTGTTGAGAATGAGTTCTACATTGATGGCGAGTAGCCCAACCTGCTTATAAGCTCATGCATGGTCTTTCCTCTCATCAATAATGTGGGACTCATTCTTAACATGCCTCCTCATGTGTGGCGAATTTTCAAGTCTAACACGTGTACACCACAATGGGATGACGTGGAGCGCGTGCGGCCGTTTGGATTCATACGTGGGACAACCAGCTCTGATACTATGAAGTTAAGGTTCCACCATAAAACCAATTGGCAATATGAGAATTAGCCTAACATATTTATAAGCCCATGCAAGGTCCATTTTCCCATCAATGTCAGACTCATTCTCAACAAAAATATGGTTATATTTATAATTACACCGAGACTTTTTAAGATAAAACTTAACTTTAATTAGACTAGCACCAACAAGTGGTTAAGTTGAAGCGATGTTGGACCATTGACTCGTGACAACTTATTTACAAACTCATGTCCCTAATTTAATAGATACATATATATATCTTACTAGAATTCTCATGCAATGAATATAATTAAAAAAAAATTAATAAAATAGTTAATCAACTTGATCAATGATCGATGTTAATGTTCATAGTGTATGTATAAGTACTCCGAACACATATTTTTGTGTATATAATTGATTTGTTAAAGTCAAAGCTTCTAAAGTGCTTCCGTATATAATTAAAGAACTAAATATAATCTCTAACTTACGAAACTATAGTTAATCTCATCCTCTATAAAATTAAAAACAGAGCAAATTTTTTTTTTTTCAATCCAAAGGTCTTTCAATATACTAAGAACACGAGTGTCACAAAATAATTGGTTCAATACTTGAAAAAAAAACTTTCAATCAATTATTTTACGACACTTGGTGTTTCGGGCTGTGTTTCTGAGTACACTAAAAAATTTCTCTTTTTTCAGACTCAAGTGATCGATGATGGCACGCGATGCGACTTTTCACGCTTTTATAAAAAATTTCCTTCAAATATTAAAAATGAGTGGGTGAGATGACGAGATTGAAGATTATCCATCTTTCCAATTAGAAGTGCGTTGAAATTTTTACCAAAAATTTAAAACGTTTCTTCAAAACCAATTTATGCTCAAAAATACTTTTAGTAAAAGTACTTCTAGTAGAAGTATATTGAAACTTTTACTAAAAATGCGAATGGCTTTTTAACTCTACTTCTAGTATAGTTAGAATCGTCTTTGGTAATCTGCAAGTGTTTTTAGTTATTAAAGGCACATTTAAACATACCCATAACTCCATGTATAACTTTCCTAGAAAAACTATATAACCAAATATTTGCATGATCAAATTTATGACCTAAATTAGCAAAGTCGTCTATCTATTGTTCATCATTCATATTTTCTATTTTGTGGCTTATTTTTATTTTTTATTTTTATCTATGACCTTTCGCTTGCGTCACCATCACCTAGGCATAAACCTGGGAGCTGGAGTCAACGGTTCATAACTTCATATTAATATGTTGATATTGACCAAGAGCAACATGACCACAACAATTAAGCTTTGCTACAACAATTGGATAGCTTTCCTTTTCAACATACGTAAGGAGAAGCTAGGGCTCGTTTAGAAATGTTTTTAAAATGATTGAAAATGTTTCTTAGTTAAAATAAATCTGAAACCAATCTTAGTAAAAATCCAAGTAGATCATAGAAAAACACTTGAAGTGTTTTCTGCAAGAAACACATATCTGGTGCTTCCTCAAAAAACAATTGAAGTGCTTTTGGCAGCCAAAATCAATTTACAAAAACACTTTCAATTATTCAAAAAGTCGTTTCAACGAGCGCAATTCAGACGCTCTTGACAAATTGAAAAAAACAATACAAAATCCTTGTATTTGGTTTTCTAGTCCTCCTCATGTACTGACCCTTGTATGGTTTTCTAGTCCTCGTCATGCAGTGACTTCGAAAGTGTTCTTTGACTTAGTTCACTAGGAATCCCAAGTGAATCCAAGTTGTAATTTACTATGTTTCATAAAATAAAATAAAATAAAATAAAATAAAATAAAATAAAAACATGATCGCAATTGGTCACAATCCCTAATGGGCTAATTTATTAATTAACACTTTGGGTCAAAAAGCCCAAAACAAGCTTGAACTTTATGGGCTTTATCCGAAATTGGACTGCCGAATCAGCCCCAAATTATATCGGGGTTTTCTCGAGTTGAACTTCGGGTCGTCAGGAAACATGAGACGGAAAATCCATAAGGGGTATAAGAGTCATTTCACAATAACGCTATTTCTTCTCCAATAGAAGCCGGTATTTTCTTCCCCTGTCAGCTGTAAATCAAACAAAAACCGTTTTCAAGCAAGCACCTTTCTTCTTCTAAACTGCCATGGATGCCGCTTCGTGCTCAGTTCTCCGAGCTCAGCCCTTTTCTTCCGCCGTTTTCCCGCCAAGTAACAACCCCACCGCCCGCTTCTTCGCCCTCCCCAAGAACGACCCCAACTTGGTCCCTTCATTTTCGTCCACTTTCCCAAGAAACTCAACTTTTCCCGGAAAATGCCTGCACTTCGACCGGTTCGCCGTTTTCAGCTGGCTATCCGGCGCTCAAGACCAGAACCCGTCTCAGGAACTCGCTGTTCTCCTCGAAGTCGACGGGTGGGACGATTTCTTTCTCCTTCTTACTCCAAGCATTTCAATTTAATTGCTTTCTTTTACTTCACAGCTTCTTTGTTGTATTTTTATTATTTTCTTGGTTATTGAAGCTTTTTTTTTGCTGCATTGTTCGAATTCGAGTTGGGTTTTCTCGGAGACCTTTTTCTTGATGATTTCTCTTTGTTTCTTTCAGGGTTCTTATGGATGCTTACCGGCTGGGGAACCGCCAAACCTTCAATGCAGGTGAGAAAATGCAGTAATTTTATCCTATTGTATTAAATTTTCTTAATTAAATTGTGTTTTATGTGTTAATATTACTGTATTTTTTTCTTGTGATATATTGGCGGCTTTTAAGAAGCCTGGACTTGACTGTGCAAGTTGGACAGAGCCTGTTTACTTGGATCTCCTAAGGTAAGGGAAAATTAGATTCACATCCTTCTTTTTGTTACCCCATTGATTAAAATTCTGTTCATTTTCAATTTTTGATCAAGGTCCTTGGGTATTAATAACATCATTAATTATTTGAATAATAAAATATTTTTATTTTTAAATATATTCCTTTAGTGTTAAAAATGTTACAATTAGTATATTTATATTTATGGCTAAATTTTTTATCATATATTTTTATTTTTAGTTTGTACCAATTTTTAATTTGCAAATATTTTTTAATTTGTACCAATTTTCTTTTCATTTTTAATTTGTACCCATATATTAGTTTCTTTTTGTGCCCATATTTTTTAAAGTTTTATTTGTGTTTGTACCCATGTGTATACCATCACGTGACATTGTATATTTAATCAATGATAGAAAAATTACATATGGTATATTTATGTTTTATGCCTAAACTTTGTATCATATATTTATACTTTTAGTTTGTACCCCCACTTTTAATTTGCAACATTTTTTTTTTAAATTTGTAGTATTTTCTTTTTAGTTTTATTTTGTACCCATTTATTAATTTCTTTTAGCACCTATATTTTTAAAAATTCATTTGTACTCATAATTTTTAATCTTTTATTTGTACCCTAATTTATTTATAATGTACCCATTCTTCTTTATTAATGTACCACTTTGTTATATGTGAAATGTACCAATTTATTTAACACTATGGATACATTCTTTTGTCATTTATTATTTCTTATTTTTACATAGTTTTTATCCATTTATTCAATTAAAATGTTTGAATTTTTTTATTATAACCGTTTCTAATAGTATTATAATGAGGGATTTTAAATTTATAGGATTATAAATCTCATAAAATATCAAACAATTAATGTCAAAACTATAAGAATATAAATATTAATAGTAATATAATGAGGTGTACAAAGTCAAGGGACCTTGATCAAACTTTGAATACTATTAAGGTTTTAATCAAAAAATGTTAAGGATTAGGGACCGCAATCAAATTATCCCAATTAAAATTATGAGTAATGATTCGTGAATTTAGATTATTTATCTGGTTTCTTGTTCTTTAAGTTATTTATTTGGTTTCTTTTCCTTTAAGTTATTTATTTGGTTTCTTTTTCTTTAAGTTATTTAGTAGGCTTGAAATCAAATCATGATTCATGACTTGCTTCAATCTAGTATGAGTCAATTTAATTACATTTTCGAGTTGTATCTGGGTCGTAAGAGTTTTTCGATATGAAAAATCACAAGATTTTGACCCATATTATTTGTTCGTTTTAGGTTTTAAGTCAAGAGTTGGAGGTGATCTTAGAAATACAGAAGCCTCATTTCTCTTTAAAATTTCTCTCTAGTTCTTCATCTTTCTCAATTATTCATCGTCCTTTGATTATTCTCAATGTAGTTAATACCCAAAGGGTTGTGAGCAGTGAGCGTGTGAGGGTTGGAGAGAGAAGGGAGTTGATGCCAGAAGGACCGCATGGCCTTTACCAACCCAAAAGGACTTGCCTTCCAACAAATGAACATAAGGGACAACATCCGTAAACGTGATTTTATTACAATCAAATCGTAAAAGGTTCAAACTTATATTGTAAGCTGAACGATAATTACAACTTAAAAGGAGCTTAATTAACTTAATAAGTGTCCTCGGCCATATGATAATAAAAAAAATTAATACATTATATAGAACACTACTTTAGCATGGGCGCTTAATTCTGACCGCTTTGCACTAGAAACAGATGATGCATGTTCATACATATCAACACGGAGTTTTTCTCTGTGATAGTTTTGAAAGAATTGTTTGTATTGAAATCTGTAAGGTTACAAGAAAGAGAACTTATACAAGTGGAGAAGGATGTAGTGAGTCACCCGATGAACATCACACACCATGCTTCACACACTAATATTCTAACACCCATACTTTACACATTAATATTCTAACACCCATACTTTACACATTAACCCATACCTATAACCCATACTTTGGATATTAGATATTCTACCCATACCTATAACCCATACTTTGGATATTAAATAATCTAACACTCCCCCTCAAACGAAGGCTAGTATATTCATCAAGCCAAGTTGGACCAAAAGAGTGTTGAATTGAACCCGAGACAATCCTTTGGTGAAGATGTCTGCTAGTTGATCTGTGCTCCGAACAAAAAACAGGTTGAATGACATCAGATTGGGTTTTTTCTCGAACAAAATGACAGTCCATTTCAATGTGTTTGGTTCTTTCATGAAATACAGGATTAGATGCAATGTAAATAGCAGCTTGGTTATCACAGAAAAGAGGCATAGGCAGTGTTCTCTTGAACCCTAAGTCGTTGAGCAAACCTTGCAGCCAAATTAACTCACAGGTAGTAGATGCCATGGCACGATATTCAGCTTCTGCACTTGATCGAGCCACCACACTTTGTTTTTTGCTTTTCCATGTCACCAGATTTCCACCAACAAATGTACAATATCCAGTAGTAGATCTTCGATCAATTTTGGAGCCACCCCAGTCTGCATCTGTGTAGCCAACAATGTGAGCATTTCCGATCTTCCTCATCACAATCCCAGTTCCAACAGTGCCCTTCAAGTAGCGCAAGATCCTTCGAACAGCTTGTAAGTGAATTGATCGAGGAGCATGCATGAACTGACTGACTAGGCTCACGGCATGCATGATATCAGGACGAGTAATGGTAAGGTAAATAAGTTTCCCTACCAATCTCTGGTATAAACCAACGTCTATCAGTAAATCTCCATCTAATCCAAGTTTCTCTTTGCAAGCTATTGGGGTTGCCACTGGTTTTGCCTCAAGCATTTTGGACTCTTGAAGTAAATCAAGTATGTACTTGCGTTGGTTCAAGAGCAAGCCTTTACTAGATGAAGCAACTTCAATGCCTAGAAAATACTTCAGAGTTCCTAGATCTTTAATTGCAAACTTTTTGTGAAGAAAGCCCTTAAGTCGCTGAATTTCTGTCAAACTGTCACCAGTCACAATGAGATCATCGACATAGATGAGAACGACAAGTTTACCTGCTGAACTATCTCGCACAAATAGTGAGGAATCTGCATTGCTCCTTTTAAAACCAATGTTCTCTAACACAGAACTTAACTTGGCATACCAAGCTCGAGGAGATTGTTTGAGGCCATAAATGGCCTTGTGTAACTTGCAAACCATGCCCTCTCCTTCTTGTGGATGTCCCGGAGGCAACTGCATGTACACATCTTCTTTAAGTTCTCCATGCAGGAAGGCATTCTTAACATCCATTTGGAATAGGGGCCAATCATGGTTGACAGCAACCGAGAGAAGCACTCTTACCGAGTTCATCTTTGCCACAGGAGCAAAGGTTTCCTTGTAATCAATGCCATAAGTTTGAGTAAAACCTCTAGCCACCAATCTAGCTTTGTGTCTCTCCACTGAACCATCACTCTTAAATTTGGTTTTATACACCCATCGACACCCCACAGCTCTCATCCCCTTAGGTAGCTTGGTGATGCTCCAAGTTTTGTTTTCATTTAGAGCTCTAAGCTCCTCATCCATAGCTGTTTGCCAGATCAATTGAGAGTTAGCTTCTTGGAATGAGCTTGGTTCAGATGAGGCTGAAATTTTGCTTAGGAAAGCAGCATGAGACGAAGATACTCTTGAGTATTCAAGAATATTTTTCTATAGGATGTCTTGAGGCATAACTTACATAATCTTTAAACCAAGTTGGCTTACCCCGATTTCTACTAGGGTTTCTCCTTGGAGTGATCACTTCAGGAGTAATAGCAAGGTTCTCCTCAGACGAAATTTGATTTTGTTCAGTGTCTTCAGTTGATTCATTATCAACAAGTATGTCAGATGATGAATTACACTCAACTGGATCAATCGAAATTTCATTGTTGCTTGGTTGATCTGGAGCTGAAAAATGATGAGGCAGTGCATTGATTTCCATAATTGGCGTGAGGATTTGATCAAGAAAGTCCTCCCCCAGAAGATCTTCACCCCTGGTACTAGCAAAAAAAGGAGTTTTCTCGTCAAAAACCACACATCTCTAGACACCAAAAGTTTCCTGCGCTTTGGGTCATAGCACTTATATCCCTTTTGAACAGATGAGTACCCTAAGAACAAACACCTTACAGCTCTAGGGTCCAATTTATCTCGATGCAAGGTTTGAATATGAACAAAGCAAACACATCCAAACACTCGAAGGTGAGACAAGTTAATTTTCCTGCCATTAAGTGTTTCAAGAGGTGCCTTGAATTTGAGAACCTTGCTTGGAAGCCTATTAATTACATATGCAGCAGTAAGAACCCCATGAGACCAGAATTTCTTGGGTACACTCATTTGAAGCATAAGTGATCGAGTTTTCTCCAGTAGATCACGGTTCTTCCTTTCTGCTACTCCGTTTTGTTGCGGAGTACCAACACAGCTCGTTTGATGAATTATTCCATGACAAGTTAGATATTGAGTAAAAGCATTAGACATATACTCAGTACCATTGTCTGACCTTAAGACTTTAAGTTGGGTTGAGAACTGATTTGTAACAAGACTGTGAAATTCTTGGAACACATTAATAACTTCATCTTTTGATTTCAACAAATACAACCAGGTACATCTTGAGAAATCATCCACAAAGGTGACAAAGTATCTAAAACCATTAAAAGAAACCAAGGGTGCAGGTCCCCAAACATCAGAGTGCACAATCTCAAAAGGTTTACATGACTTGGTTGATGAGACATCAAAAGGCAACCTCGTCTGTTTTGAAAAATGGCAAACTTCACAATCTTGAGTCATCACATTCTCTGAAGTTTTGAAGAGATGTGATTGCACAAGATTAGAGGGATGCCCTAATCGTCTATGCCATAATAGATGATTCTTCAAAAAACCAACTTGAAGACCTCTAGCTTCAACAGGTTGCAATGAAAGCATATAGAGGCCATCTTTATACATGCCTTCACCAATCTTCTTCTTCGTGATACGATCCTGGAAAATCACATTGAATGGCGAGAATATAACATCACAGTTTAAGGAATTTGTCAACCTTCCTACTGACAGAAGCTGAAATGGAAAGGAGGGCACATATAGAGCAGTTGATTCAACATTAGTATCAATTAACTTGACTTTCCCTTCACCCAAAACTGATACACCAGTTCCATTAGCAACAGAGACAAATTGCGGAATAACTGCCTCTTTAAAGTCATGCATATATCTTTTTATATTTGTAATGTGATCAGTCGCTCCAGAGTCTATTATCCAAACATTTGCAAGTTTTCTGGAAGCAAGTGCAGCACTAAATGAGTTTAGAATACCTGACATATCAACGGAAGATGACACCTTTGTCTGAAGAAATTTTGCAAACTGCTCAAATAATTCAGTGGTGCTAGCTTCACTGTTTCCTTTATGAAGATTGCTTTCATCTTTCTTCTGAGTGAAGGAAGAGAACTCACTCAAGAGAGCTGAGGGATTAGATGTGAAGTTCCCAACAGTTGAGGCAGTCTGCAAGCGAGGGACTTGATTTGCACTGCGACCAGGTTTGGTTTGTTTGGAAAAGTTAGGCTTAAGGTGTGGATACAACACCCAACAAGTGTCTCTGAGATGATTCTTCTGTCCACAATGACTGCATTGCATCTCTCCTTTCTTTCCTTTGAAAATGTTTCCTTCAAACCTTCTGTCACTTGCAACGAAAGCTCTAGACTCAGGATCACCAACCTTAGTACTCATAACTTTCCTTCTTGCTTCTTCTCGTTGAACGATAGTGCACACAGTATTGAGAGATGGTAGTTCAACACTCATCAATATGTGGCTTCGCAGGTCCTTATAGGTAGAGTCAAGACTGGATAAAAGTTGAAAGACCTTGTCTTCTTCAGCCTGCTTAAGAAGGATTGCTGGGTCTGTAGTGTGAGGTCGATAGAGATTCAGCTCATTCCACATAGACTTCAGTCTTCCCAAGTGCTCGATAAAAGTCTTTCCATCTTGATTCAGAACAGAAAGACTCTTCTGCAGCTCAAATATCCTGGCTGCATTATTTTGATTTCCATACATCTCCTTGACAGCCTTCCACAGATCAAAAGCTGATTCTGAAAAGCTGAAAATTTCTGATACCTTTGAGCCCATTGAGTTGAGCAACCAGGACATGACGAGCTGATCCTTGCAGAACCATTCTTCATACTTAGAATCACCAACCTCGGGAGGTACGATAGTTCCATTGATGAAACCAAGCTTAGATCTTCCTCCAAGAGCTAAAGTAATAGCTCTTGACCAAGGAAGATAATTAAACTCAGTTAGGAGTATGGAACAAAGACGTTGATTGGGATTTCCATCAGCTTCACTTGAAGAAACTGATGAAGAACCAAGGATGTTCTCGGATGAAGCAGCAAGTATATTTTCTTCTTCCATTTCAAAAGATTTCAGAGAACAGGTTCTTTAGGAAGCCTGCTCTGATACCATGTGATAGTTTTGAAAGAATTGTTTGTATTGAAATCTGTAAGGTTACAAGAAAGAGAACTTATACAAGTGGAGAAGGATGTAGTGAGTCACCCGATGAACATCACACACCATGCTTCACACACTAATATTCTAACACCCATACTTTACACATTAATATTCTAACACCCATACTTTACACATTAACCCATACCTATAACCCATACTTTGGATATTAGATATTCTACCCATACCTATAACCCATACTTTGGATATTAAATAATCTAACATTCTCGGATGCTTGAAATATCACCTTGGTCAGTTGCAAGGGAGCATTTGCATGGACACATGATGATATTTCAACTTGAATCCAATTCTTTTAACTAATTGGATTCAAGTTGATGATTTGTTAAAAGAATGCATACTTTGTATATACAATAGGAATGAAAGTTCCATTCCTACTTTCCTAGAATGCGACTTTATAAAAAAATGAGTGCTAATAAATCTACTCTACAGTAGGGGTGGGTTGGAAAAACCGAAAACCGAAAAAAACCGACAACCGAACCGAACCGAGACCGAAAAAAACCGAACCGAAAAAAACCGAACCAAATCTGTTGAACCGAACCGAACCGAATTTAGTTGGTTCGGTTTCGGTTTTTGAGGTATGAAAACCGGACCGGACCGAACCGAACCGAAATATGAAAATAAATATAAATACTCAAAACATGCTGGAGAGGAGATTCGAACCCCTTCCGCCCAGGTGGGGATAGCTTCCTTCAAACCAACTTGACTGTAGGCTTTGTATTGCTATAATTGTACCAGTATAATATTTATAGGTATTCTAATCTTAATGTTTTATAAAATTTATAAAGTTCACAAACCCTAGCCGTCATTCATTTTCTTTTCATTCTCAAATCTCTCCTCTCTTTCTCTCATTCGCTGCGCTTCCTCAGTCTCTCGCTCCCCAAAAATCAAACGCCGCGGCAAACAGGCGCTGAAAAATGGATGGGGGGAGTTCCGGCGCTGCTTCCGACGCTGCAAGTGAAGGCGATGATCCTGATCCACTCCGCCTTGTCCGATGACACGCGTACTGTGGTGGATTCGGTGGAGTTGGAGCTCACCGACATGGACCTCAAATCCATCTCCTCCAGGTCCTTGCCCGACCCGCATACCCTCCGAAAGTTCTCTCACCTCCTCGGCCCCAAAGTCCTCCAGGTATTGACTCCTCACAAGTTTTTCTTTCTGTATGTTTACATATTTTTTTTTCTGTGTGTGTCGAACTGGTGGTTAAACATGAGATTTTTTATAAAGTACATACTTATATCTGGTGGTTGGACTATGTGGTATTCAATTTTGTTCTGGATTCTCGAGGAAGGTAGACCTGTTTAGTAGCATGCTGCAGGAAAAGTAACTAAGTTTTGCCGAATTGTGAATCCAGAACTTGCCATTCAGCAGATCCTTCCTTTCGTAAAGGTTGCACATCTCACTTAACCTATGGTTATACTTTCCCTAAGAAGTTTGTTGTAGTTTTTAGGCAGTTCTAAATACTGTTATGCTTTTACTTACTATGTTTGCCTGCCATAGGAATTGTCGACAGATTCTTCCCAGCACGTTCGTTCTGCATTGGCTTCAGTAATAATGGGAATGGCACAAGTTTTAGGAAAGGCAAGAAAATTTTGGGGCTGTTATTTAATTCAAATTCTTACTTCGAAGCTAATTTTTCTCCCTCTCACTGCAGGATGCAACTATAGAGCAGCTGCTGCCTATTTTTCTTTCTCTTCTAAAAGACGAGTTTCCTGATGTTTCAATATCTCATGTTTGAAGGTTCTGGTTTGAGTATTGATGTTTCAATATCTCATGTTTATCTCTTGGCTCAGAAAAGCAAAAGAACAAGAAAAGGAGTGATGTTTATGGGTTTTTGTTTCTTTTCCATCATCATATACAATGAATTTGCTGCCTATGATGGTTAATCAAGTAAAAACATAGGATCCTTTTCTGTGGGTGGTTGACAGGTGGTGTGATTTCAAAATGTATAAATTGTAGTATTCGGTGATGCAGTATTGCCTCGTTTTAGATCTATTTTACTGAGAAAAAAAAAAACCGAAAAAAAACCGAAACCGAACCGAAAAAACCGAACCGAAAAAAAAACCGAACCGAAAAAAACCGAAAAAAAATTGGACCGAACCGAACCGAAATTTCGGTTTGGTTTCGGTTTTGGCAAAAAACCGAACCGAAAAGAACCGAACCCAGCCCTACTCTACAGTCTTATCTTCTCATCCGCCATTTTACTAATTTTTTAATGTCAATTTTAGTCTTTTGTAAAATAACATATAAGGACCAAAATAAAAAAAATTACTTGCTTCCATTGATCTGCAAGTACACTCCAAATTCACACCCAAAATAATAATTCATGGACTCACATAAAAAGCTACCTTCTTGTTCGAATTTTAACGTTCTAAGTTGTTTGATTGTCTCGATCACGCCCTAAAAATTTTCAAAAATGTTGACAACACAGTTACTACTGTGTGGAGCCAGATGATCAGAGGCCACGCTTGGAGCGAAACTCCGTGCAAGTCAGTTGAATTGTATAAACGGTTGGTGCGTTTGGAGGCAGAGGCTGATGGGTTTTCCTATTCGTATGTTCTTAGTGCTTGTGCGAGGTCAGGGTTGGTGATAGAAGGGGAACAGGTGCACAAGAGGGTTCTGGTAAGTGGGTTTGGGGTGGCGTCCAGTATGCATGCCTGGTGTTTGATGGTATGCGTGAGAGGAGTATTGCAAGTTGGAATTCGCTGCTTGCGGGCTATGTATGGTGTCAGGATGTTGATGGGGCGCAGAGGATTTTTAACGAGATAACGAAGTGGAATGTTGTTTCGTGGACCACCATGATTGTGGGGTGTGCTCAGAATGGGAGGTATAAGCAAGCTTTGTCTTTGTTTGGTTAGATGAGGAGGCCTGGTGTGGAATTGGATAAGGTGGCGCTAATGGCGCCATTATCAGCTTGTGCCAAAAAGGGGGCTTGAATTTGTGAAGGTGGATTCACTGGTACAATGAAGAGCGATTGTAGATGAAGTCGCACCCGCTGTTGGTGGCTCTGTATAATGCAGTCATACACATTTACGCCAATTGTTAATTAGAGGTTGTTTTAGAAATAATAGTGGGTAGGGAAATAACATTTTAATTTTTTTAACTTTTTATGTGATGTGTGGAATTATAATGTGAGTGAAGAAATAGAACAATGGAGCGGGTATGGTAGCACTCCAAAAAATTACCGTTAGTTGGAGTACTCTAAAGATTAGATCTTTGTTTACCTAGTACCGTTAGATCTTTATTTAAAAATTAGATCTTTGTTTAAAAATGGTATAAAGCAAATTAAGAAGATTTCAAGAAAATTGTATGCATTCTTGAAAACAAGATGTAACTGTTGGATTAGTTAGTGATTTGGTTTATTATTACCAGCATTTGCCTACACACTTTGTGCGTATGAACATATTTTTTTAGAAAATGAGAAGGAGAGAGGGAGAGAGAGATAGAACGTGGGGGAGTGAGAGGTTTTTGTTTTTGGTTTTTTATTTATTTATTTTTTAATATTTGAGGTATGTTAACATCATATTAGGTGAGACTTCAATAAAAAAAAGTAAAATTTGGACCCACGAAATTACATTATTGCCCATCATTTTTTTTTTGTGCGATAAAAGACTAATTTGTACTTTCACCCTCTTTTGGTTGAGAAAAAAGGTTTTATTAATTAGTAGAAATGTTAGTATTGTGGTTCTATGTATTAGGGTTTTGTAATAGGATAATGATTAGGATTGTTTTCCTATATTTTTAAGATTACTTTCCTAAATTAAATAAAAAAGATTACTTTCCTATTTGTTTTAGATTTTTGTATTTATAAATACACAACCTATAAAAAATATTTATATATGCACCTCTTGTAATACAATAATGAGTAATATAAGTCCAATTTTGTAAGTTATTATTGCGTTTAGTCTACTTTGTTGATTTTTTTTAGTACAACGATATATTTTACACTAAAGGAATGAGAGAGTTCGGTTAAACCACACAATGGACAACCTAATGTGATATCGAATTCTCATCTACGAGATTCACTCACTTATTTTTACTATCTTTTTATTTTATTCAATTGTGATCCATTGTTATCCCTTATTTATAGGATTATCTTTGACTTAATTTTAAATTAAATATTGTTTGTCCTTCTTTCTGCTCTAAATTCTTATCTCAACTTTTTCTTCTACCATCACAAGTTAATTATGTTAACTAATCTATATTGTAGTTACTATACATATCAGCATATATAGTATGGATTCATAAACGTATGAAAATGAAATTTCTTGAACTATTTCATGGATGGTATGTAGATTAAACTTATAGGATTGGCTTACAATACTTAATGTATATATTATAATCATCATTTGATGGTCGAATATATCATGTGAATATATGTATCTAATACAACATTATCTTACCATCGAACAGGTTAAATAGTATTTATCAAACAACTCAAAATTTTGAAACTAGATCAGAGTACCACTACAATAAAATTAAGTCTGACAAAATATTCAAGTTACATAACCGCTTGGCAATTTTATATTGTTCTTCATTTTCGTCAATCGAAAAAAATCTAATTTGTATTCAGTTTCGTGCTTTGATTTTGTAAGAGTAATGTTAAGGAAACTTAATTTGAAGACTAAAATTTGAAAACTAAATGATATAAAAGTTGATGATTGATTTATTACTTATGCATTGATAGATGTGCTTATTTCTATTGGTAATCACTGGCAGAGCCAGATTAAGGGCTGCCCTGGGCTGTAGTCCAGGTAGCTTTCGGTGAAAAATAAAATTTTACATGTAATTTGATTGATTTTCGAATGTAGCCCACTCCCCTCTCACACTACCCCCAATCCGGATGCGCTACACAAGAACCGCTCCCACGTTAGAGGTATATATTATTCCATATTTCAAGAAACTTCGATTGCCATGTTTGCCAAATTTGGGACGATAACCAGTTATAAATTAGATCGAAAAATCCTATTACCTTTACATTCTTGGTCAAAATCGTGCATGGAAGACTGTATACAGTTCTGAGCAGATGAATTAAATGACCCACTTCCTTCCTTTAATGACTGCTCCAATCTCACTTTAAACTCTCCAAGTGCTTTAGAACGTAGGTGTCTAAGCATGGTAATGTACGTAATGTAGACAGACTGTAAAGTTCAGAGGAAATAAAAGAAAGATTTAAGCTTCAATAAATAGAAATAATATTTACGTGATTGCAAATTTATGAATCAATTGAATAATTATACATGGACTATAATCTATGCCATGTTTCTAATTCAAGTACTTGACTTAGTTTTGTAGAACTCATGTGGCCAAAAACCTAACTAAAATCTTTCTTAAAGTAGAGAGAAGTTTGCCATACGTACAATGCTTTTGACTCCAGAATTTGTCGCTTTGAGTTCCTTTTTTTTTTTTTTTTTTTTTTGTGGTAAAAGTCGTTTTGAGTTCCTTACACCTTCATGATAGTACAAGGCCTTCTCTTCAGATACAATACTAACAAGAAAACTTGGTACTGCACAGGAACACAAAAGCAAACACACAAATAGTGTCCAAATTTCAACGGTCGACCAACACCAGCAGACTAACAAGTGAAAAATGAAGTCGAGTTTATTTGAGAAAGAGGGCCAACCAGGCAGAGAAACTACAATAAAATTGAAGCCAGAAATGTAGAACATTCGCTTCATAACTAGAATGAAACGGGAGAAAGAAAGTCCACATAAACCTAACCCCCCGTCAAATGCCTCTTTATCATCTTGTAACTAATATATAATTAAAGAAAACCACAAACAAATTCAAATCAGAAGGTGGAACTTACTCAGATAGATAGGTGTCTAGAATTGAGCTTAATCTTTTACCAAAATCTGGTATAAGACCAGTTTGGGCAGCTGCTTTCAGTGCCAACCAACCCTAAATCATGTTCATGATATAGAATTAAGCAGAAGAATTTCAAAGTATCAAATGGATTATATTTAAGTATAAGATACATACTTTATCTTCGATCAACTGTTTGAATATATCGGTGGAAATCTCTTCACACCGCACAGTGGCAACCATAACCTAATTAAGGTACCGTGTATGCATAAGAGAGGTGATGGCCACAAATGAATTATATTCTTTAATTGGGAATTGAGGAAACTAATGTACCTTGTGAGCGGGAAGGTCCAGGTCCTTGTTCAGTTTGATTACTCTCCACATCTCCTGTGTACTAAGAGAAAATCCTGAGGCAGGGACAACGCCCTTCCTATCACCAACAAGGCCTCCTGGAGAAATGGAATTGACAAAGCGCTGCCTCAGTTGAGCAACCTGCATGGTATGTGCTGGCCATACTTGTAAGTATCTACCAACTTAATCTTTAACAATGAATGAATTTACTTAAGGTTGTTTGCCCACAGTTTTCAGGTCTGAGAAATGTTTCTCCTGATGTAAATATGCAGTTGCAGCATTTCAACAGATGTTTCAACACACCCCAGGAATTAAAACCCAAGAAAAGAGAAATGTAATGGGCAATATGTTTAGGACATGATGAATTGCTTCTGATATATAGTGTAAGGGTTACCTCCTCCTTTAACGTCTCCTCCTTCTCTAGATAATTGGACAAAGCAACTACTTGTACCTTCATTTCAAAAATGTTAAAATCAGAGACAAAGAACACACAGGCTGTCAGACTGTAAGCGAGCAGTGGAAGGAATAAGAGATCGAACTCACATTAAAAAACACAGTGAACGGTGACTTTTTGTGGGCTTGGGGCTTTGAAACTGCATCCCACATCTGCAGAGTGACATGAGAATGTGAGGACAAAATCTCATATCGGTTAGGGACCAAACTATGCAAGGACTAAAAAGAAGTTGGCGTACTCCCTATATTTTCAATTGGTTTTATGGTAAAACTTCAACTTTGTTTATGGTATTAGAGTAGGTTGGCTCACATGTGAAGCCTAAACGGCCACACGTGCTCCACGTCACTCAATTTGTGTTG